ATAGAATAAGAATGACAAAAACCCAAGTTACAATTAACAAGGAACTCAACTGAAATGGCTTAAACCATAGAAATTATTTATTAAAAATCATAGTTAAAACAAACTTTAGGAGACAGCTTCTCAATTATGGAATCAAAGACCCATCTTATTTCCATGTCTTGCTATTTTTCTTTATTGAATTTTATCTGAAATCAGAAGATACAATGCCTCCAGCTTTGTTCTTCTTGCTCAGTGTTGCTTTGACTATTTGGGTTCTTTTCTGGTTCCAATTTTTATGTCTTTTCTATATCCATGAAAAATGCCATTGAAATTTTGATGGGATTTCACTGATTCTGTAGATCATTTTGAGCAGTATAGATATTTTGACAATATTAATTCTTTTTTTCTTTAAGATTTTTATTTATTTATTTGACAGAGAGAGAGAGACAGTGAGAGAGGGAACACAAGCAGGGGGCTGGGAGAGGGAGAAGCAGGCTTCCCCCTGAGGAGGGAGCCCAAGGAGGGGCTTGATCCCAGGACCCTGGGATCATGACCCGAGCAGAAGGCAGACACTTAACAACTGAGCCACCCAGACGCCCCGACAATATTAATTCTTCCAATCCACAAACACAGGGTATCTTTCCATTTATTTGTGTCTTCTTCAATTTCTTTCATCAATATCTTATAGTTTTCAGTCTACAAATATTTTTTTTTTGAGAGAGAGAGAGAGTGTGTGTGTGTGAATAGTGAAGGGGAGGGCCAGAAGGAGAGGGGGGCAGAGAGAATGCAACACAAGCCTCGATCTCTTGACCCTGAGATCACGACCTGAACTGAAATCAAGAGATGGATGCTTAACCAACTGAACCACCCAGGTATATCTTCAGTGTACAAATCTTTCAACACCTTGGTTAAATTTATTCCTAAGTATATTATTCTTTTCAATGCTATTGTAAATGTGATTGCTTTCTTAATTTCTTTTGCATTGTTATTGTTAGTGTATAGAAATACAGCTGATTTTTGTTTGTTGATTTTGTATTCTGTAACTTCTATAAATTTGTTTATTAGTTCTAGAAATTTTTTGGTGGAGTATTTAGAGTTTTCTGTATATAAGATCATAGCATCTAAAAACAGACCATTTACTTCTTCTTTTCCATTTTATATGTCTTTTATTTCTATTTCTTGCCTAATTGCTCTGGCTAGGATTTCCAGTACTATTTTGAATAGAAAAGGCAAGAGTAGCATGCTTGTCTTGTTTTTGATCTGAAAAGGAAAATTTTGTGCTTTTCACTATTAGCTGTGGGCTTGTCATATATGGCCTTTACTATGCTGAGGTACATTTCTTCTAAACCTAATATGTTTTTTTTTAAGTTTACTTGTTTATTTCTTATTTATTTAAGTAATCTCTCTAACCAATGTGGGGCTCAAACTCACAACCCTCAGATCAAGAGTCACATGCTCTACTGACTGAGCCAGCCAGATGCCCCTCTTCTAAACCTAATTTGTTGACAACTTTTATCATGAAATAAAGTTGAATTTTATCAAATTCTTTTTTGCATCTAAACTAAAAAGCTTCTACACAGCAAAGGAGATAACAAAATGATAAGACAATCTATGAAATGGGAGAAATATCTGCAAACAATACATCTGATATATACATTGGATAATTAATTTCCAAAACATATAAGGAACTCAAACAACTCAATAGCAAAAATACCCCCAAACAGAAAACAAAACAAAATGACGACAACCCAAACCCAAATAACCTGATTAGAAAAGGGGCAAGGGACTTGAATAGACATTTTTCCAGAGAAGACATGCAAATGGCCAACAGGAATGAGAAAAGTGCTCAATATCACCAATCATCAGAGATATGCACATCAAAACCACAATGCAATATCATTTACACGTGTTAGAATGGCTACTATCAAAAAGACAAAACAAATGTTGATGAGGATGTGAAGAAAAGGGAACCTCATGCACTGTTGTTGGGAATGTAAATAGGTACACCACTATGGAAGAGTATATTAGTTCCTCAAAAAATTAAAAATTAACTACTGTATGATCCAACAATCATGCTTTTGGGTATATAATAAAGAAAATGAAATCACAATCTCAAAGAGGTATCTATACTTCCATGTCCACTGCAACATTATTCACAATAACCAAGATATGGAAACAGGCTAAGTGTCTACCAGTGGATGAATGGATTAAGAAGTGTGTGTGTGTGTGTGTGTGTGTGTGTGTGTTTGTGTGTAATTTCAGACTTAGAAGGAAATCCAGCCATTCATGACAACAGTTTGAACCTGGAGGATGTTATGTTAAGTGAAGTAAGCCAGACACAGAAAGACAAAGGTTGTATGTCTCACTTATATGTGGAATTTAAAAAATTCAAACCCATAAAAGCAGAGAGTAAAATGAGAGTTGTCAGAAGCTGGGGAGTGGGGGAAATGGGAAGATGTTGGTCACAGGGTACAAAGTTTCAGTTAAGCAGGATGAGTTAAGTCCTGGTGATCTAATGTACAGCATTATATAAAATAAAATGTATACTTGAAATTAGCTAAGAGAGTTGATGTGAAGTTCTCTGGTCACAAAAAAAAGAAAAGATAAGTTTGTGAGGTGGTGGGTATGTGATAATCATTTCACAATATATATGTTTATTAAAACATCACATTTTACACCTTAAATACATGTAATTATTATTGTCCATTATACCTCAATAAAGCTGGAAAAAGTTTAAAAATTAAAAGTTAAGGGAGAAAGAAAATGTCCGCGAACATAAGGAAGAGCGCAGAGGGAACACAAGGTAAGGGAGGGAAGACTGAATGGGAAGAAATAAGAGAGGGAGACAAACCATGAGAGACTCTGGACTCCAGGAACCAAACTGGGGGTTACAGAGGGAAGGGGGGTAGGGAGATGGGGTAACCAGGTGATGGGTATTAAGGAGGGCATGTGTGGTGATGAGCACTGGGTGATACACGCAACTAATGAATCGTTGAACACTACATCAAAAACTTATGATTACTATATGTTGGCTAATTGAACATAATTTTAAAAAATGCAATGATAGTATTTCTATCATGAAAGTGTTACTTCCTCAGAAAGAACTTTCCTGGTTACTTTTTCTAATGTCCACCCCCTCCCCAGCCATTGTTAGCCTGCTAACTTGCTTCATCATCATAGCTTCTAACAACACATGAAAATATTTTGATTGATTATTTACATATTCAACTATGTCCTGTCCTGTAAGTTTAACCTACGTGAGAGGAAGCACATCACTCTCTGGATGCCTGCCCATCACAGGCACTTTATAAATATGTGTTTAATAAAACGACAAAGAATGGATACATACACACATACATATACATGCACATATGTATTCATGTATGTGTATATTAAAACTTTTATGGCTCAGTCTGTGCCAGCCAGAGTAGTAGTTGCTCTACCTATATTATCACAAGTCTACAAGCCATGTGCTATTATTACTATTTTACTGAAGAGAAATAGGAAGCACAGAGACATTTTGTGGTATGCCCATGGCAACTGGGAGAGATGGAATTTTCGAGATGAAAATCCAGGGTTGTCTGATTTACAAGCCCCCATTGTTTTACCACACTATATTTCCTGATATCATCACTTAGTCTCCATCATATCACATCTGACTAGGAAGTAGGCAGTTCATGAACTTATTGTTTCTAATTTAATTATTTAATTTAATTTAATTTAATTTAATTTAATTTTTGCTCTGTAATAAAGCAAATGTATTTAATGAGCATTCAGGAAATACTATGTATTGCACAATAACATATATGGCACTGGATACATATTTGATTAGGATCTAATCCTGCCCTATAGGAGAGAGGGAATGGAGGGGGGAAGAGAGGGAGGGAAAAAAAGGAACAGAGAGAAGATAGAGAAGAAGGGAGGAAGAGAAAGATGAAGAGAGATAGAAAATATAAATTAAATCTGATCGATGAAATGATGTTTACTGTATGTGTACTTACGTTCAAATAATGGTTTATGTGCATACAAGGACTGAATGTGCTATTAGAAGGTATTTTTCTATGGAAGAAGAAAAGCAGGAAAAGGAAGGAGAGGGGAAAGTTTTGCATCTCAATGTTCTGAAGGTAAAAACATCTTGCATTCCCAAAGGCAGGAGAAGACAGTCAAATAAGTAGGAGTATTGCCCAGGGAAGAAGAAAAATGTAGTCTTTAAGGAGCCCTCATTTCAGCAATGTCTTTTTGACCTTCTTCTGCTGAATCTAATTTACCAACTTAATGTCCTTATATAAAGTTCTGAAGATGGATAAAAACTTTTTTCTTTTTCTTTTTTTCTTTCTTTCTTTTTTAAGATTTTATTTATTTATTTGACAGAGAGAGACACAGCGAAAGAGGGAACATAAGCAAGGGGAGTGGGAGAGGGAGAAGCAAGCTTCCCACGAAGCAGGGAGCCTGATGCAGGGCTCGATCCCAGGAGCCTGGGACCACGACCTGGGCCGAAGGCAGATGCCCAACGACTGAGCCACCCAGGTGCCCCCCCTTTTTTTTAGAGAGAAAGAACACAGGCGGGGAGGGGCAGAGAGAGAAGGAAAGAGAGAATATCAAGCAGGCTCCATGTTTAGCATGGAGCCCCACATGGGACTCAATCTCACGGCATTGAGATCATGACCTGAACCGAAATCAAGAGTTGGACATTTAACTGACTGAACCACCCAGGCACCCCAATGGATAAAAACTTTCAAGCACCACTGGCTCATTAAATGCATGATTTATTTATTTAATTTCTGCTATTGTTGATAAAAAGCCAGTAAAATGAGTTGTCGAGTTCTTGGGGGAAAATGAGAACATGGTTTTGAAATAGATAGATGATAGATAGATAGATAGATAGATAGATAGATAGATAGATGTTAGATAGATGATAGATAGAGATAGAGATTTATAGATGTATAGACAGATGATATAGATATAGATAGATATCAGAGTTGGATTCTGGTACTTTCCCAAATGGGGTTCTTGCACAACTGTCAGGATGGATTTTCTGGAACATTTTGCTGTTGGTCTGTCGGTGGCATCAAACCTCCTGCAAATGGTGCAGAAGATGCAGTTTCTGCCATGTGAGGATTTGATGGCATAAAAAAAACAACCTGTGAAGTCTATCAGAATGCCATAGGTGAGTCAACCAAAAAACCACAGGGCTTGCCCTTCCTGTCCTTACAATGACATCACTATCAGAGTCTACTCTTTCTTCTCTGAATTTGGTCTCCAGATCAACTTGGTGGGGTTTCTCCAGCATTCTGGAGCTCAGACTGGATCTTGGAAAAACATGCAGTGATAGCTATTGGCTGTTGCTGTGACCCTGTAAGTGGACTGATCTTACATATGGATGATGGTACACAGCAAGTTGGAAACCAAGGTGTTATGGAAAATTTAGAGCTCTTCTTCCAAATCTGGTTCTTTATCCTGATGGCAGCAACATACCCAAATCATGATTTGCTGACCATGACTCAATCATTTCAAAAACCACAGGGATCCAGAAAGGCAGGAACCATCAGCAAACTAAGGAAAATGCTGGTCTTTCTTCCACAAACTCAGTGTGAATGGAGTGTGTATGTGTGTGGGGGTGGGGTGGGGAGGGGAGGATACAAACAAGAAGAGATGAAACTTCAGCATTAATGCCTCAAAGACACTGCTCTTCTGGATTCACACCAAGAGCAGCTTTTCCTAGCTCTGTAACTCCGGGAGCAGAAGGGAACACAAGCTTAGACATTATGACAGGAAGGTTACTAAAGAATTTGCTCCCTTGTGCAGATGCTTTGGTCAATGAAAATAACATTCTTCACTTAACAAAATTACGAAGTCATTAGGAATTGTTGAAAACTCTAACTTCTAGGGTCTTTCAATGCAGAAGTCCACAAATAGAGTTAGTCCACCTCTCTTCTGTGGGGCAGGATATGTTGTGTAGCACGGAAGCCTCAAAAGAAAAGAAAGAGGCACAAAATGGTGGAGTAGAGCAAGAGAAAAAATAATTTCATCAAACTTTTACTATTTTATGATTTGCCTTTGGATAATAAAACTATGAGCAACTCTTGGTGTTTTAATTCAATTCTTGGAAGATAGCCTTGTCATATTCTTCCTAGTGCCCCTTGGTCTCTCCTCTCTTCCCATTTACCAATCCTCTCTCTATATATGATGTTCTTTCAGGGGCCAGGAGGATCTGCTGCGTCTCAGGGTAAGGGATGGGCAAGTATGCACACCTTGGTTAAAGAAGTTTGAAACACTGACTTTGTTCAGTAGCCCAGGGAAGGTTGCTATGACAAGATAATGGAGCAAAATCTGGCACTCTGTGGGGACCTCTCCATTTTGAAGTATTCTCTGATCTGGACTAAGAGAGGAGGCCCTTGGAGGGAGTAGGGATGGAGAAAATTAGTTTGTCTTTTTAATTGTAGTAGGCAAGATGCTAGGATGACACCCAGTGACCCATGCCCCTGTGTGATTCCCCCTGCTTGAGTATGGGTGGGACGTGTATATATAATGGGATATCCTGTGAGTAGGTTACTGAGCAGTTGACTTTCAGTTTATCAAAAAGGACATTACTCTGTAAACATTTTTCCAAAGAAGACATACAGATGGCCAATAGGGAAGGGTGCTTAACATCACTAATCATCAGGGAAATGCAAATCAAAACCACAATGAGGTATCACCTCACAAACCTGTCAGAATGGCTAGTATTAAAGACAGGAAATAAGTGTTAGTGAGGATGTGGAGCCTCCTGCACCATTGGTGGGAATGTAGATTGGTGCAGTCACTATAGAAAACAGTATGGAGGTTCCTCAAAAAATTAAAAACAGAAATACCATATGATCCAGTAATTCCACTACTGAGTATTTACCCAAAGAAAATGAAAACACTAATTTGAAAAGATATATGTGCCCCTATGTTTATTGCAGCATTATTTGCAATAGCCAAGATATGGAAGTAACTGTAGTATCCATCAATAAATGAATGGATGATCAAGATGGATATATACTACTCAGCCATAAAAAAGAATGAGATCCTGTAATTTGTGACAATATGGATGGACTTAGAGGGTATTATGCTAAGTGAAGTAAGGCAGAGACAGACAAATACCATATGATTTCCCTTACATGTGGAATCTAAAAAAACAAAACAAACAAAACAGATTCTTAAATGCAGAGAACTAACTGGTGGTTGCCAGAGGGGAGGTGGGTGGGGGTATGGGCAAAATAGATGAAGGGGCTTAAGTGGTACAAACTTCCAGTTATAAAATAAATCAGTCATGAAGATGAAAAGCATAGCATGGGGAATATATCCGTTATATTGTAATAACCTTGCATGGTGACAGGTGACACATTGCGGTGAGCACTGGGTACTGAATAGAACTGTCAAATAATGAAGCTGTATACATCAATTTAAAAAAGGACACTATTCTGGGTAGACTTGACCTAATTATATGAGCTGTTTAAAAGAAAAATTAGAGCATCAGAGGTTTTCACTCTCTTGCTGGCCTCAAAAGTAGAAGTCAGTTGTCATGAGTTGCACAGCTGAAAGGAAGTCAATTCTGCAACGTGAGCATGGAAGAGGATCAGAGGCCAGCTGAGACTGAAGCCCCAGCTAGCTTCTTGATAACAGCCTTGTCAGACCCTGAGCAGAGGAACCAGCTGAGGTGTGCCCAGACTCTTCACCCATGGAAACTGAGAAGTGATAAATGTGTGTTGTTTAAACCTCTAAGTTTCTGGAATGTATTACACAGCCATAGAAAACTAATACGATGTCTTCGAGGCAAGCCCAATACTCACCCCCTCAGGATGGCAACAGGTTACATTGCATCCAAAGGCAGAGAGGGACACAGCAATGCAGAACTCTAGCACACTTAACAGGATCACCATAACACCTATACTCTAGGAACAAATTTATAAGCAGGAAATGTGAGAAATAGAGATGACAAGATGAAAACACTGACCATCTGATTACAAGGCAAAAAGAGAAGCACTGGCCTGCTGTCAATAAAACTGGCTCCTTATTGCAGCCATATACCCTTGGCCAGTCTTGGCCTGTTGAATGCCACTTATCCTCTCATTTTTTTCGTTAATAAAATAATCACTTTTCCCCACCCTCTACCTTCCAGTGCTATTGCAGATACAGAATGTGAAAACTCTTTAAAGGGGGGTAAGGGATCATAAAGATAACTTAGGTTTTTCAAACACCAAAAATTCCATATAGTTGACAAAATAGTATGATCTCCTATCTTGGTAGCTGCAGGCAGAGTAAAAATTGTGGGCAGAATATTAACAGACCAAAGAGGTCCACATCTTAACCTCTGGGACCTACAGATATGTCAAGTTACATAGCAAAGGAGAATTAAATTTGCAGATTAAATTAAGGCTGTTTATTAACTGACTGTTGAGATGAAAGGATTATTCTGGATTATCTGGGTGGGCCCAAAATAATTACAGAATCCTTCTAAGTGGAAGTGGGAGGCAGAAGAGGCAAAGTCCAAGAGAGATTTGAAGATGTTGCACTGCTTGCTTTGAAGACAGAGGATGGGACCACAAGCTCAGGACTGCAGGCAGCCTCTAGAAGCCAGCAAAGGCAAGGAAACGGATTCTCCCTTACAGCCTCCAGAAAGGAATGTAGCTCTGCCAACACTTTGATTTTAACCCGATGAGAACCATTTCAAACTTGTGACCTCCAGAACTGTAAGATAATAAATTTATGTTGTCTCGAGTCACTAAGTTGGCAATAATTTTGTTATAGCAGCAATAAGAAACTAACATAACAATAAAAACCAAGTTAATCAGTCTTTAATCCATCTCCCCAGAGAACTGGCTTTAGGTTTTTTGTGTGTTTTTTTGGCTTTAGGTTTAATCTTTAACCAAAATATACGGTCAGATTTGAGAAACACTGGGCAGTACTCTTACTCTTAAAAACCTGAATTGGATGCCTGGGATTCTTTGGTCTAAATATTCTCTCTTTCTCTCTCCATGGATAGGGATAGGAAGAGCCGATAGATTAAGAGCCCGGGGCATGAGTGACATGGACTCAACTGGGCCTTGAGAATGTTAGCATTCATCATTTTTTAAAATCTATTTACTCATCTCTTCAACATATTGTAGCCTCTATGTTTCAGGAATTGTTGTAGGCATAGAAGACAGAGCAGCAAATAGAACAGACAATTTCCCAACCCTCAAGGATCCTACCATCTGGTGGGGTAGACCAGGAATTGACAAACTTTCTGTAAGAGGCCAGCTAGCACATATTTTAGGTTTTACAGGCCATAAGGTCTCTGTCACAAATACTCAATTCTGCTATTAGAGCACCGAAGCAGACATAGACAATATGTAAACAAATGGGTGTGGCTATGTTCCAATAAAACTTTATTTACAAAAAACAGTGGTCAGGCTAGATTTCCGACAAAAAGTAGCAAATATATATGTAATATATGAGTTTGAGCCATATAAACCACTGTCTTTCTAGATCAAGCGGAGTTGATCACTGGCAGTCTCATACTGTTCTGCCTCCTGATTCCAGGTAGTATGTGCTGTCCTCTTTCCTGCAAAGAGCTCACCTTTTTTAACCTCTTCTTATAATCATATTTAAAAGTAAGCTCTTAGGCCTTGATCAGCCTCTAGCTGTTTTCCAATATTTCTATTCTTTCCTCCAAGGAGCTCCTAAAGGTAGGGGCCTGGTCTCCTTCTTATGTCTCCTCCGGTGCCAACGCTAGGACCAGGAGTAAAGTATGGGCTCACAGACCTGCGGACTGACCATGCAGGTGTCCAGGCAGGAAGAGACCTGATACTTCAGATCCCAAGAAGCCCTTATGGATTTGCTCTGCTATAAGGACAGGCAGAAAAAATGTTCACACAATAGGAATTTGTGACGGCCTCTGGGAGAAGAAGGTGATTGAGATCAAGATGGAACCAGCTACCTTATTTCGAAAGCCTCTTGTTAAAAAATCATTAAGAACTTCAAGACGGCAACAGCAGAGTAGTAAAGAAGGTGTAGGGTTCTTCTAACTGTAAGCCCCATGTGCCTACGCAGGTCCCATGCCCAGGCAGCCAGCCCCATGAAACGGGCCCATTCCAAGTTTGGTCCTTAGCACTGTAACCTGACAAACTACAAATGGGCAGAATGGCAGAAACTGAAAGTAGGCTTCTTCTTCAGGATAACAACATAGAACAATATTAAATATAAATATGAATGGGGCATTAGAGGCAGGAAAGCACAAAATCTCATCTTGCTTCTGCCAATTCCTAACTGCATGATCTTGGGTAAAATCTAAGTTCTCTGAAGAAACTCTCTTATTTTGGGTAAGTGGCAAGAAATAAACTTGCCTACTAAAAGCCCTGTTAGAAACCTCAAGGGGAGTATGAATTAATTTAGCAGAGACAGTCAAGGGGTTATTTTGGCATGACTATACAGCACTCAGGACTTATCGAGGATTAGCCTGGAATGAAGAAGAGGCATAATGAATATGGAAGAATGCTCAATTTCCACATTTGGGTGAACACAAGAGACAGTGAGACAGAGAACTAACTAAGCACGGAGAAAGGTCAGAAGGGAGCTCACACAGAGGGGAAACAACAGAAAACTCAGCGGTGCTGAAAATGGCTAATAAACTTTTTTTTTTTAGACTTTTTAGTAATAAAGATTCAGCTGCATTTTGGCCAGGGCTGCGCCTCAAGAGCGCTCCTCCCTGCACTTACCCAGAGGCCCACAGCTTCACAACCTACAATAGCTTGTGTAAGTGGCAATTTGGAGAATTAAAGCCATTAGGATAACATCTAAATGAGGGCAAGCGGTACAGAGAAGTAGTGAAATACAGAATGGAAATTGAGAATTTGCCAGGAGCTGGGTGTTGAGGCCCAAAGTGCTTAATCTGGCAAGAACATCCAGAGATGTGGGGAGGGGTAATGGTGATTTGCCACTTGTTGGATAATGTTCAAGACAATTTTATTTTATTATTAGAGAACCAGGAAACTCCTTCAGGGAGCCCTGGGGACACAGAGGGATTGACATCTGGGCTCCCTTTTTACAGTGGATAACAGAATTGGTGTTTTGAAATTAAACAGAAAAAAAATATGCAATATGCTTAGTGCACTAACTAGGGAGAGTAGGTACTCTATAACCATGAGCTTCCTTTCCACTTTCTCTCATCACGTATGGAGGAACAAAGAGAAAGATGAGACGTGGGCCTGGCTCCTCAATAAAAGATTTCCCTCTTCTTCAATCATTTTCAATTTCCCAAATAGCTGATTCATCCATCAGCTAGGGACTACTGAGTGTTACTTTTGCCAGAGCCAGAGCTCCTGTGACTTGCTTCCATCACAGTATCCCAGGAAAAAAGGAAGCACTCATCATTAAAATAGACAGGGACATCAAGCAGTTCTCTGTCTTCTCAAAAGTGCCACAGTGAAAGAGATTGAATCAAAAACTATTCAAGTGGCCTGCAGTGAACAAGATCCCTAATGCAGCCAAGACAGAACTGGAGATGTTTAATCCTAGGCTACTTCTGATCTAGGAAGGAAAGTCAATTCAGCAATCCAGTGGTATCCTCAGGGGTGTCACCAACAAGCACTCCACACCCCTCACTTCTTGTTCCCACAGTCCAGCTGCTCTATCTTGGCCACTGTGCTGTCTCCTCACTTGTCTCTCCCCTCACAGCACTGCCAGCTCATCTCCTGCCCAAACACAAACATGATCCTGTTGTTTCCAAGCTTGAATCCTTCACACAACTCTCACGCACATGAGATAAACTCTTTTTTTCCACGTTAGCTAGACAGTTCTGTCCGTGCCCATCACCTGCCGTGCTCGGCATCGGGTGCCTGGCTGCGCATTATTTTCTAAATGTGGCTTCCATGCTTTTTGTGTATGACCTCCCTCTGCTCTGTATTCCTTTCCTGCATTTTCTTCCCTTGGAGGCTTATTATAAGAACTAAAATTCTCCAAGAAAGCATGAGAGGTTTAGTGTGGCTGTAGCATGAGGGGGATTTTAATGGTTATAGCTAGACCAGATGCTAGGGAGACATACTGAGGTCAGACTTGGAAAAGCCGTAGAGATTACACTCCATAGTCTGATCTTTATCTTTTGAGCAAAGAAAACCCAAGTATGGTCTTTAGCGAGCAAAAACATATGTTGAGATCTGGGCTTTTGCTTTTTATTGGCTTTGTGAAAGATATTGGCATGAGAGTTGTGTTTTAAATTTGCTTTACCTTATTTAATAGCCTTATTGTGCATTTCTTCCATTGCAAGCCAAATGAAAATCCTTTCCATAAACAGTCAGAATACACATTTTAATCAGTAAGTCAACAAATATTATGCCACACCAACACTTGGTGTCACTGTTATGGACTGGATCTCAAGCTGCAAGGTCTGTTTGGCTAGTCCCATTTGACATTCCTTTTCAGGAATTCTCCGTATTTTTATAAAGATTCTCTCAACAACTGCCTTCCCAAACTATTCATTGTCATATCAGTAATTTTATGATCAGCCAATTTTTTATTATAATTTCTGAAAGACCAATGCAACTATGTAAAACAATCTCTCCTGATTTTTAAAAAACAAACAAAACCCATCTTGTACTCTGGAAGAATAAATACTTGGTTAGTCTTTCTTCTTTTGGGACAAAAATAAGCAAACAGATTAAAAAAAAAAAAAGGAAACATTACTCACCAGACCTTTTGTAGTTTTAGCCCCTGCTACAATTGACAAGGACCCTGAAACAATAAATTAGTAACAAGAGTGAAAAAATGCAGGTAAAAAAACTTTAAACAAATATTTGAAGTCAAAACTTACTAAAACTTACCCCTAACTGTGATAAATTTGTTAAACAGCCCAATTATATTGGAAGAAACACAATAGATTGTAAATAATTCTCCTCTTTTCCCAGAAACAACAGAGAAATTCTGCCAGATGGATTCACAGGAGAATTTTTCAAGCCTTTCAAAAAAATGTCTAACTGCAATGGTATTTAAACATCTGAGGGCCTTGAAATATAAAGAAAGCTTCTAAATTCCTGATATGAAGGAACCCTAATACGGTACCAAAATTTAATAAGATTTTAGGAAATAAAAGAAACTAACAATTGTTTTTATTTAAAATGACTATTAAATGTTATAAACAAAATAGTAGCAAAGAAAGTTTTTAATTCCATATTAGATGCTGATTATTTAAAAAAATTTTTAATAATATACTATTCCATTTGGCTCCATCATTGGGTAATTATTTTCCATTTAGCTAAAACAGCTGATATCAAGTTGATTGGACCCCCCTGCCTTAAACTATTTGACTGTTTGAATGTCTGGGTTTGCTTTCCAATTTGAAATGTTCTACCAATTAAGCAAAGAATCATCTAGTGGGATTCCTACGATGGTTTGAGTGATAGCTCAATTGACAAACCTAGCTCCTGCAGTTCCTGGAAATCTCCGGAACATGTGTAGAGGACATAAATTATGAGAACTGGTTTCCAAAGTGGTCTTGAAAAGGAAATTAAAGGGGAAGCAGGAAATGCGAGTGGCCGATGTCTGCAAGACTGAAATCAGAACGACCCTGTTTGAGTCCTGACTCTTATACCAAATAATAGCATGATCTTGGACAAAGCACTTAATTTCTCCAAGTCCCAGTTTCTTCATCCACAAAATGAGGGCCATGGTAAATCCTTTCTCAGAAGTCTGAGAATTGAATATACAAAGCATGTAGAAGAGTGCCCAGATTATGGTAAGTATTAAATAAAAGCTATTATTGACATTAGTGTCATCAGACGTGTAAATCATGGTACAAATGCCCAGGAGTAACACAGCATAGCTGCTCTTCAAATCTTGCACTTCTTCTGTAAACAGGCGAGGGGAAACAAAAAGCCAACTCTATAATAAAACTCTAAACTCTCTCATTTTCAACTTTGTAGATGAATGGAAACCCTACAATACTTGAATAGGGTTTTCTGGTTCTAACATAAAACCAGCTTATAAACTTATTTTCCATTTGTCACTTGATACTTTATGTTCTCTTTACACTCTTCATTTGCAGAGAAGCTGATAGCTGATTGACTAAAGTCCCCGAGGACTTTAGGTTCCCGCTTCAAGAACTTCTCTGGAATCCTTTTCCACAGATTTGGGTGTAGAACAGCAGACTTCTCTGGCTGGTACACACCAGGGCCAGCCCCTGTGGTCCATTCTAGTCCTTGTGTGGTTGCCATGGCAGTAGAAAAGGAGCTACAATAAGAATTGTAATTTAGGGGTGCCTGGGTGGCTCAGACGGTTAAGTGTTTGCCTTCGGCTCAGGTCATGATCCCAGGATACTGGGATCGAGTCCCGCATCGGGCTCCCGGCTCAGCGGGGCACCTGCTTCTCCCTCTGCCTCTCGCTCTCTCTGTCTCTTATGAATAAATAAATAAAATCTTTTTTAAAAATTGTAATTTAGGATGAGGTCCTGTTAATGACAAGACAAACTGTGGTCTACATTCCCTTGCTTTATTATAACAGCTATTAGAGTATCTTTGCAAAATGTAGTTGTTGCAAAGGCCAGCCAGGAAAGGGGAACAAGAAACACCTTAAGGAGAGAAACACGAGAGAAATGCCATGTGTCATCAAGATGCTAGAAAGTACTGAAGAGAGGGGAATCTAGATAGAATTAAGGTGAATATGCTGGGCCCCTCTAAATATATGAAGTCTGTACTCAGATTTTATCTCTCTGATTATAGCCGTTTTCCCTTTGGGTTTTTTTTTTTTAAGATTTTATTTATTTATTTGTCAGAGAGAGAGAAAGAGTACAAGCAGGGGGAGAAGCAGAGGGAGAAGCAGACTCCCTGCTGAGCAAGGAACCCCCTGCAGGACTGGATCCCAAGACCCTGGAATCATGACCTGAGCTTATGCTTTACCGACTGAGCCACCCAGGCGTTCCGCCATTTCCCCTTTGAAAGATAACTTTTATAATAGGAATAAACTACACAGAATTATCTGTGCTCCCATTGATTGTAAAGTGTTTTATGGTCTCCCTTTTCTAGTTGGAGCACAGTTATATTCTCAGAGCTGGAAACCTCCTCCAGGTTCATCTTAATAAATATGATTTATTTAATCTTGGATTTTACCCTATAAACTCTGGACTTTGTGGATGGAATTTATGATCCCAAGTCATAACCCTGGCACTGAGAACTTAAATCTCTTGTCCCATTTAAATGTTTTAAATTCTGACTTGCCAATGCATGGCAAGAACACATAAAATTATTTTTCTAAGACTCAAAGCCCAAACATAATACTCGTCAATATAGTAATGCCAGTCAGGTTATGTGGAAGTAAGTTTAAAGCACTGGAACACTTTATCTACTCATTTGAATCCATAGGCAGATGTTGCATGGCTCACATCCATAAATTCTAAGGGAAGTGAAACTGAAACTTTGCAAAGCCACAATCAATTCTGGTACCATTCATGTTTCATTGAGGCTCCATCAAAGTCTCAAGTTTGGAAATGTGTGCTCTTTCATTAGTAGCACAAGATCAAAAATGTTCTAGTAACACCCATTTTCTATGTCCTGGGAAATAATTCATTTTCTCAGGAAAGGATTATTAACCTATATTTATACTCAGTAGGCTAAGGGAACCACATTATTAGTTATCTAGCAAAAAAAAAAAAAAAAAACTGGCCAAAATAAGAAAAAAATGAATCCATCTCAGAGATAGATAGGGGAAAACAATCCATATTAAAAATAGAGATTAATCATTTAAAACATTAATTTAATTTTAGTAACAAATATATTCAAAGTTCTGGAAAGCAGTAAAAGGAAAAGTACAAAAGAGTAAATCATAAAATAATAAGTAAAGCAAAAACTTTCAAAATAAGATGACAGAAAAATATAATTAGTAATTCATAAGGAATACATAATGAAGGATGAAGGAGAATAGAACAGTTAAGATCAGGAAGTAAATAAGAGGATATGACCAAAAAGTCAATGTTCCTTCTTCTGTTCTAGAATATTTCCAAAAGCAATACAGAGAAAGAAAATTAGAATGCTATTTTGAAACTGGGACACAACTAAAATTACCATAATTCAGATGAAGTAATTGTCAAAAACAATGAAGATTGCATGAGGATGAATTTTGGGGAAATGCAGAAAAAGTATCAAAGAAGCAAGACACTATGCCACAGATTTCAGACTACACTTATCAAAGGCAAGAGGCTTGCTGAGGTATAAAACACATGCTCTTGTTTATAATCCAGAGAATGAACACACCATTTGACAGCTGCAGCTTCCCTGGACAAGTGTAGTTCTGAGACGTAAAAGGTGGGAATAACAGAGAAAACATATCAAAAAGCTGCTTTTGTAGGAAGTCATCTATCTCTGAATAATTCTTACACTGGAGTCTACAAAGAAGGAAGCAAGTATTCTTGCCATAAATCTCCAAGAAATCCTACAGTTTAGAATCATCTGAGTATATCATCATAATCAAAGATTACCAAATGCACAAAACCCAAGAGATTTAGTTAGAGAAACACCAAGTGCTTCAGGTATTATGATAATCAAATACAGAATATGTAATAAATATGGATGAAGTGTTCAAATAAAAACAGAATCACAAAAATGAGAAAGCACAGGTCAAGTGCCAAAGTGACGTGACAAATTTCAAATGTTAAGAAAACAATGTCAACAGTAAAAAAATACTTAGTTAATGTGTTATACAGCAAGGAACACTGAAAAGAGAATCTGTGAACCGGAAGATAAATCTGGAAAAATGACCTAGAAGCCACACTGACAAGGAAATGGACATAGGAGAAGAGATGTGAAAAGATTAGAAGTACAGAATTAGAAGTTTGAGATGTGTATAGAGTACTATAAAAAGAGAAGACAACAAATGGAGGCTAGGTGAGATTGTTGCCTTTTTCATTCCTGATTTTAGTAATTCCTTCTTACCATTCTTCTTGTTCAGTCTAGTGAATGGTTTTCCAGTTTTGCTGATCTTTTCCAAGAATACCCCATTCCAAGTATTCATTGTTGTTGTGACTACGTGTCACTGCTGCGTTGTTGCTGTTGTTGTTGCGTAGTGACTGCCAGATCTCTTCCGTGGAAGTCTATATTCTTTGTGATCTGTGCACATTAGAATTTCCGTTTGATTAGTTTAAGGGTCAGCTAATGATTTAACAGATATCTTTAAGGGCCCCTCCCCCCAGTAAATCTCCTACCCTTTTGTCTTAGGTCATGTATGGGTGCATGTGTTGGGCAACTTTAATACTCTGGTACTTTATAACTTTGTGTTTCCTTTCTCTATAGCCTTTCCTTCTTGCTTGCACAGAGCCCCAACATAAGCCATAGTTGAGGTATTAGGGACTCCTCAGGTCTTTCTTGGGCGCACAGACAACCTACACACATATGGCTTTCTAGATTCCCAGGGATATATCAAGAATTTTTCAAGATCCTTGCAAAAATCTCATTCCTGTTTTTTTCTTTTAACGATTTTTTAATCCAGCTTTTTCTTTACTCCAACTGTATCACTGCCTCAGGAAGCTGTGAATTAAACAATTTCTGATAATTGCTTTTGACAAACACCTTGGGGTTTGGGCTTCTGAGTCGTATCAAGGAAAGACAAGATCTATGAGTAGAGCTTTTACAGATGTTTTCCAAACAGGTCAAACAGTGACAATTCTTTGGGGATGGGGCTTTTTAAGGATTTCCAATTTCATTCTAACCCCTTCACAGGCTGTTAGGAGGCTGGTTTCTGTAGCTGCCATGGTTCTAAGGCTTCTAGTTTTCAGGGCTACCACAGATTTGGGAGAGGGTAATAGGAATAGGACAAGTTAAAACAACAATAGGGAGAATTGATGGAACCAAGAGTTTGTTCTTTGAAAAGATCAACAAAATTGACAAACTTTTAGCTAGATTATTTGTGATATGTGTTGGGCTGTTGACAACTAGCGTGTCTTTTTGTCATTGTTGCTCCTGCTACAGATGTGGAAAAACCTAGAAAACACCCCACTTTTCTTCTACTGATGCCAAATCTCCTTGTGGGTGAGCACCACCACCCATCTCTTGTTTCCTAATATTTTATCACCAGTTCCCTACTGGGTCCCGACTGCCAACAAGGGAGCATGACAAGGGTGGTCTGAGGGGCCGTGTCTCCTTCTTTGTCAAACTTATAAAATAGAATAGAGGCCCAAAAGGAGGCAATAGAATAGAGGTCCAAAATGAGGCCTGAACTTGGACGGTTGGTAGGGGATGGTGATGGGAAAGTAGAAATCAGGACCTGGGCAGGGAAAAGGTCTGGACTAGGAATTGAGACATCTGGTTTCTAGTCCTGGTTCTCTTATTAACTAGTGTGACTCTGGGTAAGTTACTTCCCTTCTCTGGGTTTCACTGACCTCATCTGAGGAAAGGTACATCAGGCACAGTTGCCTCAAGCTTTCTGATCTCAAAGATGCCAAGAATCTACAAATTCTCTTTCCTTAGTGGACTTCCTCACAGGTATCTTCAGTCTATGGCTTGGTGTCTCACAAATGCTGCCCCAAAATGGTTGGAGAACTAGGTCAGACCACAGTGTACCCCAGGCCTGTGTAAGACTGAGGACCCCACCTTCACCTGACAGTATCTCCACCAAATTCTGCACGTGGCAGGACTTTTCTGACTGCTGAATTATAAAAACGATGTCAGAGACAGAGAATAAAGACCATAGAAGAAGGAGCCTCAAGAGTACATGAAATACCTAGTGAAAAGCATAAAATATGGCTTTTGGTTTCCTAAGAGCCTAGGGATGTAGGGATCAAATGTAACTGAAACCACCTCATCCAGCATCAGCATCTAGGAGCCTGTCCTTACCCCCATCCTCTGCAGCAAAGAATGTTCTCCAACCCACCCCCCAAACATACACTTAAAGTTGCACTAGACTCACCCCAACCCAGAATACCAGTTTGTGCTGTGAGAAGTAACCTAATCCTCTCTCATTCGACTCCCAGAGTGGAACCAGCAGATGAGAAAACCATCAGCCCCAGAGCCTAGGAAGGCACGTCCCTACCTTTCTTCAGGCCTGCAATGTGTGCAGTGTGTCTCTGGGCACACTGCAATGTCTCCGGAGACTCTGGGCAAGTGCTCTCAGTCCAGATACACTGGCCCCCACTCCACACCTCACTCAGGTCAAATCTGCATTCCTTTCCTGCAGTTTTTCTGAACCCCAAAGACAGTGCTGAGTATTTCTTAGATGCACAGCTGGTTCCTTTTTTATGTTGGAAGTGCTAACTGATTTAGTGTCCCTAATATGGGTGTGGGTGTCTGTTCTGAAATTTGCTGAACAAGCGGTGACTGCCTCATACAGTCTTTTATAGGAAAATAATAGCATGTATATTACTGTATATACAGTATATAGTGTGTCATTACTGCGTATATCAGTGGAAATCAGTGGTTGAGTATTTACTGTGGGTCAGACTCTGCTCAAAGTTCTTTATATACACAAACTAATTTAATGGCATTTAAAACTCATTTGAAAAGCTCCTCTTCACAACTTCACACATTTTCACCTGCTCTCCTCATCTCCCTAGAGAACTGCATGTTACCATTCTATACAAAATTTAAATATTTTACATGAAAATCCAACATTAGGGATGAATGCCTTTAAAGTGGCAATAAGTCGATTGCATGGCAATAATTAATAAGACATTTTCTAGTTCAAAGAGTCATCTGGTATCATAGAAAGAGCCTTTTACTTGACAAAGACAAAGCCAATTCCAACCATTTATTCATGGCCTTATTATTTCTCTGAACATAATAAGATTCCTCATTTGTAGTATGAAATCAATACTTTATATGGAGAAGAATGCACGTGGTGTTCAGTTCTCATTCAGTAAACATTTTCTTAAAGAAAAATTACTTTGAGATCCCCAAACCAAACAAAGACCCCATCAAAAAGGAGAATTACAAACCAATATGCGTGATGAACATGAATGCAAAAATTCTCACAAAAATACTAGCCAATAGAATCCACAGTACATTAAAAGGATTATTCACCACGACCAAGTGGGATTTTTTCCTGGGATGCAAGGTTAGTTCAACATCTGCATATCAATCAATGTGATACAATACATTAATAAAAGAAAGAACAAGAACCATATGATACTCTTAATAGAGGCAGAAAAGGTATTTGACAAAGTACAGCATTCTTTCTTGATTAAAACTCTTCACAGTGGAGGGATAGAGGGTACATACCTCAGTATCATAAAAGCTATCTATGAAAAACCCACAGCGAATATCATTCCCAATGGGGAAAAACTGAGAGCTTTTCTCCTAAGGTCAGGAACATGGCAGGGATGTCTACTGTCACCACTGCTATTCAACATAGTACTAAAGTCCTAGCCTTGGCAATCAGACAACAAAAAGAAATCAAAGGCATCCAAATCGGCAAAGAAGAAGTCAAACTTTCACTCTTTGCAGATGATATGA